TTCTACTACTAGTACTACGACTACGACTACGACGACGACGACGACTACTACTACTACGACCACGATACTACTACTACTAGTACTACTACTACTGCTACTACTACTATCACTACTACTGCTACTACTACGGCTACTGCTACTGCTAGTACCACTATTACTACTACTACTACTACTACTACTACTACTACTACTAGTACCACTGCTGCTACTACTACCACTACTACGCTACGGCTACTACTACTACTACTACTACTACTACTTTTTATTACATATCATTACCATCACTACTTCTTTGCTACGACTACTACTACTACTACTACTACTACTCCTACTACTTCTACTACTACTGCCACTGCTCCTGCTCTTGCTACTCTTACTGCTACAGTACTGCTACTGCTACTGTTACGACGACTACTACTCCTACTACTGCTACTGTTACTACTACTACTACTACTACTACTACTACTACTGCCACTGCTGCTACTGCTATTGCTACTGCTACTGCTACTACTGCTGCTACTACTACTGCGACTACCACTACTACGACTACGACTACTACTACTACTACTACTACTACTTGTACTACCACTACTACTGCTGCTGCTGCTACTACTACGACTACTACTACTACTACTACTACTACTACGACTACTTTCACTACTACGACGACTACTGCTACTACTACTACTACTACTACTACTGCTACGGCTACTGCTAGTACCAGTATTACTACTACTACTACTACTACTACTACTACTACTTCTCTATTAGTGCTGCTTCTGCTGCTGCTACTGCTCCTTCTCCTCCTCTCTTCCTCCTCTTCTTACTCCTAGTCCTATGCTTCTGCTACTACTCCTTCTACATGTACGACTACTACTATCACTGTTGCTATTACCACTACTATCGCTACTACTACTACTGCTGCTACCACTACCAATACCACTACCACTGCTACTACCACTACCACTACCACTTCTACTGCTGCTGCTGCTGCTGCTACTACTACTACTACTACTACTAGTGTTGCTGCTCCTTCTCCTCCTCCCCCTACACATCCTACTACTCCCACTCCTACTCCCACCACTACCACGTACTGTTACCACCTACTATTGCTACTACTACTACTACTACTACTACTACTTCTACTTCTTCTACTACTACTACTACCACCTACTCCTACTCCCCCTCCTCCTCCTCCTACTACTACTACTCCTACTACTCCTACTACTCCTACTACTCCTACTACTCCTACTACTCCTACTACTACTACTACTACTACTACTACTACACTACTACCACGACTACTTACTACGACAACGACGACGACTATTAATTACTGCTGCTGCTAGCGAGTGCTCCTGGAAGAGGAATGCAGAATGTCGCAAGTAACGGGAGTTGCACATGCACCTACAAGATGAATAACCAGTCCCGATGCTTCGGACGCTTCTTAGTCTCACTGTTGGCAGGGACAATCCCGATTTCAGCCTAAGAGGTTCTCTAGGCCTTGGGGGTTGGGTGTTGCAGTTGCAAGTATCTGGAGTTTTACAGTATGCCATGCAATAGCGTATGAGCACAACATGCAAGGGTTCCACTACTTTCTCAGAAAATCCGCGGGCTTTTGGTTTCCCGAAGTTGTTTCGAATTTTGTGAAGACTAACCCGAAACTATTCAATTCGAAGTCCTGCATGCTAAATCCTGAGCTCTCAGCGGCAAACCTGCGACACCAGAGCTCGTGAAGCAACGGATCTTATTCTCATCATGCCAGGCATCAAGCGAACATGACCATCATGACTGGCAAGGTTACGACTGTACCGAGGTTCGCTTTTGCCAGCATTGCTGTATCATCTCAGCAGGTTTACGGGTTGCCATTTACAGACTAGAACCTGCAGCCCTCGACCCCTAAACTCCCTAAACCCTGCATGAATTTTAGCCTGAACCCACTTTTCGGGTTGAGGGACGGGTGGCAACAGCGCCATAGGCATAACAGGATCGGCCCACGTCCCACCTTGCACTTATACTTCCGTGGTTGCTATTGTTTGTCGCTGTCCTGTTGACGCGGCTCATCTCGCTTAAGGTACAGTATGCAACCCGTCGCCGCTCTGATGCTCTTCAGTGAAAGCACGCCTCGTGCGACCGTAGGGCATCATGTTTTCTGCCAGGACATTCGGCAGAATCGTGACTGACGTAGCCGATTGAAGCATTGTGCACTGCGTCCGTAAAGTGGGCCGCTGAAGGGCTTGTGTTTTTCGGTGCCGCCACATTCGATATTGGAAGCGGAGCCTGTGATTGGCTTTGCGATCCAGGGCGGCTGGCTTTGGGAAGTCAACTTGGTGTGGCGGAACCTGTGCTCAAGCTGTGTGAGCTGGCTGGGCGGCAGCTAGTGTGTGCGAAGCAGCTCGGCAAGGGCTGATGTGATTTGGTTGCGGGCCTCGCTGTGCGAAGCGGATCTTCAGTGACTTTTATCTGTTGAAGAACGGGAGCGTCAGTGCACGGGACCGATGGCGCGGTCATACTATGACTCGACACCGGTTGCGAAGCTTCGGTGGAGGACTCTTACGGGGAGCAGTTGGCGCCGCGACCTCAAATCAGGGCCGCTGGAAGGTGGGTGGGGACACTGGAGGTGTCTCCAGTCGGGGACAAGATGGTTCCTCGGTTTTCGAGAGCGAGGAGAAGTTTTCGAGACAGAAAACGAGGCTTTTGGCACCGCACGTGGGCGATAAGGCTGTCACGAGGCCTCTCCGAAGGTGCCGACGTCGAGCACGAGGTCAAGGTGGCTGGTGCGAGTGCTGGTTTTGAACGACGGTCGGTGCAAGTGTCGAACAGATACCTGCCGATCTTTCGTGAGAAGCCCCAGAGAGCTATCAATAATGGAAGCAAAGTGACGGGTTTTGGATCGGAGATGAATGTGGACTTGATTGGACCCAGGATGATGGTGCAGCTGAAGGATAGAGCGGCTCAGCTTCACCTTGATCATCGCTGATGTCGACAAGGCCACCGGCAAGGACGTGATCTGTTGCAAGTTGGAGAAGTCGCCTCTGGTCAAGCAGGTGGACCGCCACCGGGTGGACCAGCACCAGCGCTCCCTGATGCAGCTTAATAGGACGCCGGGTGAGAGTATGGAGTCCTAAGGCACGAGGGCAGGAGTGTACCGGATTCACCTTTGTCAATATGGCCATGGGAGACGCGTTCTTCGTTGGCCAAACACCAAGTTGACGAAGCGGGACCGGGCCATGGTGAAGACGAAGGCCGGGGACCGCACGGATGAGGAGAGGGTCACCTCGGCGATGATCGAGCTGGCCACCGGGATGGAAGGCTAGAGATGATCATGATGGCCCCGAGGACAAAGACGAAGATTTCGAGCAGCTGGATGGTGAGTTCGCACATGACAAGGAAGTGCTAAAGCTACTGCCACCTCCGCCGTCAGGTGCCCCGCAGTTGCCGGTGCCGCTGTGCTCGAAGCTGATGCTTGTGGCGTAGACATCACTTGCTTCTTTTGCGGGGGTTGCTTCGAGCGCAGTCCGGTCGTTCTTCTCGACCGGCACGGCTGCCGGCTGCCATGTCGAAGATTGTCGAAGTTTCCCAAGGAGGGACGTTCCGACGGGCTTTCACGGGCCAAACTTCAGCAATCAAAGGCATAGCATCCGTTCTGCTGGCCAACTTGAAGCCCCTAGATGTTGGCCAAGAGATGCACCCGACAGGCAGCGGCGAAGAGCAAGGTGCAGCAGCATCCAGCTGGCACCGTTGAGCAGGCACCCTACCCGTCGCTGTCGCAGGTGTGGTCGGCGGAGATCGGCTTGAACCTGGCGGCGTCCGCCCGAATGGTGACCTATAGTTGGAAGAAGATGCCATGGCAGCTGCGTGCGAAGAAGGCCATCGGGCAAGCGGTTGAAGCGGAATCCCAAATGGCTCGTGAAGCTATTCGGCAAAGAGGTGGCAGCAATGTGGGGGCACTTCGGACTGATGAGGCAGAAGCTGAACAAGCCCGACGTGTGGCACCTCATGTGAAGAGGGCGACTGCAGGCCACAACAGGGGCTGACGCAAGGCCGCAAGCAAGTTGTGACGGTCGGGCAGCAGGCAATAGCGAAATTGATGGAGGCTGTCAATGATAATGCCTGATAGTCGTGACTGGTGACTAAATGCTGCTGTGAGCCATCCGGACCTCGTGGTGATGTCACCGGCACCTTGGCCAGCGAATGTTCAAGGGTGTGGCGAAGACCTGTGGGATCGGCGATGTCTTCAACTACAATTGTGGCGCTTCGCCCGCTCGCATTCCAGAGGGAGCCTTGCCTGAAAGCACACTTCATGCGACCGAAGGGCATCATGCTTTCTGCCAGGACACTCGGCAGAATCGTGACTGCCGGAGCCGATTGACGGCTCTGTGCACTGAGTGTGAACGCGGTCCGCTGCAAGGTTTGTGTTCTCCGGTGCTGCCATGTTCGCTTTTAGAGCGCTTTATACGCCAACCATGAGGCTTCACACACTTCGGAACCATTAGCCGACGCGACCGCCAGGGCATGCCGCTCGATGCTTTTGTCGACCCCTTCGCAAGCTGCTGCTTAGCGACGAATAGTAATTCGGGTGTACTGATTCTTTGTCGAAATTCGGAAGTTCAACCAGGGTCAGGTATTGCTGCGAGACCTTCGGGATCCTCCAGTACATTACCCAATGGACCGGCTCAGTCAAAAAAGTGGGAAATATCTAAAAAGTAAAAAAATCACTTTGCATGACTTTAGCTTTCACTTCGAATCGAAAATGAGGGCGCAGAAAATATCCAAAACGTGTGGCGCAAAGGCAAAACTGCGAATCCAAAATTTAACTACGAAGCTAGCTCAAACCAAAACTGCTAACGGAAGTTTAGCGGAAGTTTCCCCGAAACTTCCTTTCAAACTGCTTCCAAACTGCAGCACTCTGGTTAGCAGTTTAACGGCTCCAAAACCCAAACTGCCACTAAACTGCCCTTCGCTTTGGTGGTGTTCTTGTAGACAATACAAACACACACGGAGACACCCACACTCACATACATACATCATCCTCAAATATAATACGATACACACGCACATACATAGACACACCAAACACAACACAGACACCTCAACCTATGACTGCCAACCCTACACCCTGTGTATAAATAAACCCTGAACCCAAAAACCAAACCCAAACCTTGATCTCAACCTATATGGACTGCCAACCCTACACCCTGGAAGCCCTCATCCCTGAACCCTAAACCCAAACCTTGAATCTCAAGCTAGACTGCCAACCTACACGGCCTTGTGTACACCCTGCGAACCTCAAACCGCGAAGCCCAAACCAACACACAACACAGACACAGACACAACACAAACAAGCACACGAAACACACACACACACACACACAACACATGCACACAGCACAGCACACAACGCACAACACACACACACACGCGGCACGACACACAACACAGAACACACAACACAGACGTACACACAGCAACACTAAAGAGATTTTTGCAGCAAAATACACTTGCAGCACACCGAAAACAGGTTAGCAGTTTCGGCCGGGCACCTTAGCAGTTTAGAAGCAGTTTCATTAGCAGCTTTGCTTTCGCCATTTAGATTCGACGGCAAATTTTAGATGTGAATCTATCTCGCGTTTTCATTTTGCGAGGAAATGCTTTCAGATATGAATCGAACTCAAAACATTTTAGATTTCCCTTCGAAGTGAAAATGCGAGTCGATTTTGCCATTTAACTTTATCGTAGAAATATCGATATTTCCCTAAAAAAACGATTCGCAACTTTTCTGGATTAGCCAGTCTATTGGGTACAGCTTTGGAGCATTTAGAGTTGGGACAGTCTGGGCGTTTTGGGCGGTGGTTGTCAAACGTTGATCCATATTGGAAGTCCTCAAGCGACGACTCATGGATTTTCGGTGCTCAGAGAGGCAGTTCGAATGCGGTCCTTTTCCTGACCTGACGGCCTCCACCTACATCTAACCGCCTCTCTCCTGATACTACGTGTCTTCGTGTAGGTAAAAACGGGCATACCGGTATTGAGTTTAGAAGTGTTGTTTTGGGTGTGTTTGTGTTACTTACGTCGCAGAGACCGGAAGCTAGACTCGCAATGCGGTCGAGGTTGCGTATTCGAATCTTTCCCAAAGAATGCAGCTCCCCCGCTGCTAAACAGCCTTAAACTCCCGACTCTCTACCCTCAAGCGAACTAGCATGTGAACCCTAAAACCTGAATTGCATCCAAAAGCAGCCCGAGGCTGGCAACGGATGACAACTCCCTTGAGCGAGGCTGGTCTCAGCTCAAACTCGAGGCCTAACCCTATGCCGACCCCACAAGCGGCAGGATCTCTTGGGCCTGCTCTCCTCGAGACGGGGGATCCTGGGCGCGGACGTATGAGCAGACATAAGATTACAAATTCCTGGTTGAGTGGTCCCCGTATGGTTCGATACGGGGATTACACAGAACTATGGGTTCCCTAGGTTAGGATGGTAGATCTTTCTTGATGGGTGAAAAATGAAGCTCTTGGGTTTCGTGGTACTGGTGTTGTGATGAGCGCTCGGGGTTCGAGGGTCCGGGGGGGCTTTGCGCGGGTTCCGGGTTTGAGGCTGGATATCTGGTTTGCTAATGTTGTCTTTGGCGGTTTCCGGACTGCTTAGGTGGCACGGGGAACATCCGCTGTCAGGCTTAGGGTTTAGGGTTTGGTGCCGCCTTCGAGGCCTGCAGGCATTGAAGGTTGTCGATGCTCGTGAGTGTTGAAACGGTATCAGAGAGGAGGCATATGCCCAACCCTAGGCCCTAGCCTGCACACCCTGCAACCGTCCTTCCTTTACCTTGAAGCCATGACCCCTGCACACTAAATAACCTGGTTTGTTGTTCTAAAATCCTAGTTTGTTGCAGAGCTATCTCGGTTGTAAATCCTAAACATTTGAAGCTTTGAGGCTGAAGTGAGTCAGACAGGCGCTTGATTGTTTAGGGTTTTACTCACAGGGTTAGTGGTTTGGTTTGGGGTTTACAAGGTTCCGTGGCGTAGAGTTCAAGGTTCAAGGTTTGTAGATTTGAAGGGTCAAGTTGAGCGTTGGGTCAGAGGTTTCAAGAGTCGTTAGTCACAGAACATCTCTTGAATTGTGTACTGCTCCAGAACTGGCGACCCACAATGAATAATAAAGGAACTCTGTTGCAAAAGGGGTCCAAGGGTTCAGGAGTTCAGGGTTTGAAAGGTTGTGGTGTAAGGGTGAGGGTTGGCATGCTTTCATTGGAACGTGTGCTAGGGCCGCACTTCTCCTTGCGAAGTGTTTTGGGCAAAGAGGTGACCGTATGTACTCAGAGAGCCTTGCATGCACAAGACTTCGAGCTTCGTCTAAAACCCAGAAGCCCTGACTTCAAAAATGCCGAGTCTAAATGCCGACGCTGACAGCCGTTTGCCCAGAATAATGCGTAGAAACCGCCAACTTCTACACGCCAAAGATGGCCAATGCGTACCAAGCGGCGAGGCATTCGACCCCGAATCTTCGACACCTAAGCCTAGAGCCAGCCTTGATTTTGCACTACCCTGATCCAGGCTCTATATGACGTAGTCACGTCGACGAAGGCCCTTCAAGGCAACACGCTCTAGATCCTCTTTAGCGTTAAGGCTATAATATGTAGCCCACGGTTTTGGCTACCGAGGTAGTACCGTAGATCGCCTACAAGGTCAAGTTCTAGACACTCAAGTTCTGAAGTTCCGCAGTCAAGGAAGCAACGCCTCCGAGCGCTGCAGACTCAGAGCGGCGCCCACGCCGAGCTGGACATGTGGTTACGGGTTTAGGGCAGCGAAAAAGCTTGGCAGCGTGTGCGCGGAGCCTTGAACACCCTGAAGACTGAACCCGGTGCGATGATGACATCAATCTGCAGCCGCGAAACAAACACCAGGAGCCCAGCTACCGCTGCACTGTAGTAGGTTACTGGCCCGATAATCTGTAGCCGTCGTATGGAAACCCTTTTTGCACGTGACTAGTGCATAGACCGAAAAGAGAGAGGACTTTCAATGGCGAGCATTGCACCTTTGTGGCACACGCCACGCTATCCTGAATGCCCTGGCCCTCTTGGAGCTCATGGAAGGCCTTCGGAGTGGGTGGGGGTTGCTTGCGTGTGCTCGGACCTGCATGAGTCAATGAGAGTCAAGAATGTAGAGTTTCGGTCCGGGGGCGGCAGCCCTTCGTTCCAGTTTCAGCCTCTACTTGCCCCAACGAGCCAGTCCGAGACTGCCTTGAGTCTTAGCCTCCCCCACTGCCCTACAGCACGAGCAAACTCCCTCCCATTGATCCTAGCCTAGCAAACCCTCGAGCCCGCGCAGGCTTCACCGTGAAGTTGCCCTCGGCGCTGTGGACGGAACTCCTTCGATGCAGGAACCTGGGGGCCGGCACCTTAACATACCTTAACCTCTTCTTGTCCTTCAATACGGGTACTGCTGTTTAGGGCGTGCGCTTAAGGGCTAAAGGGGGTTGGGCTTCATGCCTAGGATCGCAGAGGGCTTGGGGCTTCGGACATAAAGGCATTGAAATCAGGGTCTATAGGGACTGTTGGAAGGTTTTTGGTACTAGAGGCTTAACGGGTCCGCGATGCGAGATTCATGCAGTGCTGTAGGGTTTAGCCTCTGCACGCTCTCGTTTCGCGATATGTTGGTGGTCATAGGGCTTTGGGGATTAGAGGATGTGAGGCAGGGAGTTTGAGCGGCTAGGGTCTGCGGGTTTTCTCTATGTTTTTGTGGGTTGGAGAGATGTGGTTTTGATTTATTGCTTAGGCCAGCTTGCCGGCTTGAAGTCTAGACCCTGCCAGCAAGAATCAAAACCTAAACTACCAAACCGCCGCCGACATCATTGACGTCTCGACGAGGTTGATGAAGCTCCGATGTCACTGGCGCGGATCCAGGACTGAAATCGCGAGCAGGGTGGTTTTATCTCAAGGATGTTTCATGCAAGGGTATTGTGGGGTTGCAGGTATGGTGAATTGTCGGCCAGGGATTCAGGGTTTGCGGCTGCGGGCTCCATGCAAGCAGCCTAGGATTCAAAAAGGATGTTGTTAGCATGTTCTTTGCTAGGGTGCACATCAACCCCTGTCAGTATTATACATACAGGGAACACATTTTCTGTTGTCCGCAGAGCTTCTTTCTAACCCCTCAATAGCCTGCAGTCCCACTGCAGTGCCGGCTCGCTGGTTGTTTGCAGCTAGTCCCGCTACGTCCCGCTGAGGCATAGGCATCAAAAAATTGATAAGCATCAAAAAAGTTTTTGTAGACAGAGTAGTAGCGCTAGTAGTAGTAGTAGCAGTAGTAGTAGTAGTAGTAGTAGTAGTAGTAGTAGTAGTAGTAGTGTAGTAGAAACAATACTCGCAGCAGCATGAACTGGGACACATTCTTGGTGCATTCGATCGCGGAATGACATCGCTGTCGGCGGTGGTGGATCGAATCGCAAGTTTTCATCAGTGCCGGTCCTGTCTTTGACTCTTTGCTGCAACAGGACGTCCCCCAGCAGATTCTGAGCCACAGCATGTCGTGCTCATTGCACTGCATGAAGCTCTATTCGGGAGTGAGCAAGGAGTACATCTAGCTGTGTGTCGATAGGACTTTCAGAGTTGCCACTGAAAAGTAAAGCCGGAGCTCTGCTGCCGCATGGCGGCCACAAGCACTACGGACGTGGAAACGCCGTTCGAAGGCCGAGAAGCGTTCATGAAAGCCCAGAAAGCCTGGGCACAAGAGCTGGTGCCAGGCCAGCATTCGAACATCAGGCACCAGCACTACCCCTTTAAGGACGGCTTCAAGGTCTTGCTCTGGTGCAATTCCTGTACCAAGTGTCAGACAAAAGACGGTTGCAACTTACAACAGCAACAGCAACAAGTTGCTCAGAGAGTGCACCCCCTTAACCCTGGACGCCTTTGACCTCCACCACAGAGAACGCGCTCAAAGAGTTCCTGCAAGGCCACGCCAGCTTCACCACTCAGGATCTGGTGAGGATTGTCGAGCAGCATCAAACGGAGAGACCGTCTGATGCCTGGCTCCGAGCATGGGGCGCGAATCATCGGGTCATCAAGCTGACTGGAGCCGAACGGGTGAGCAAGTTCAAGTGGGTGGAGGCAGACTGGCGGCAGCAGGAGCGGCTATTTGGCAACATGGAGGACCTGATGGCTGACCCCCGCACAGAGTGGCCCGATGCCTTGAAGTTTGCCGGCTGTAGCTATGACCAGGACGCAACGGCTGTGGCTGCAACCCAGCCTTGCTCCAGCCAACGCTGGCCAAGCTAAGCAAGCTGGAGTACGTGAAGCTGTGCGGGGACGGAACATTCAGATTGGCCCGTGAAGAGTGGATCTTGCTGACAGTGGGTGCCATCACCAAGCACTACTCTCAGAACGGAGGCATATATGCGTTCCGCAGCACATTCAGTCCTCTGATGTTTGCCTTGGCAAACAAGGAGGCGGACCCTATCTATAGTGTCCTCTTCCAGTCCCTCATTGACTGTGCTCACAAGATCGCCGGAGTCGATCTCAGGAACGTGGTGGCCCAGTATCACGCCGATCTGCACACCGGCGAGGACTCTGCACGCAAAAAGGCTTTTCCAAACTCGGACAGAGTGGCAGATTTCGCGCATCTTGTTGGAAGTTGCCAGCGTCCAAAGTCCAAAAAATTCGTGAAAGACCCGAAAATCATAGCCTGGCGCGCAGGCATTCTGGCTAGTCTCAGAAAGCACCTTTCAGGCCCCGGGCAAAGACTTTTGCCTCTCATTGAACGAGTGGTCTTTTTTTTGAGGTCAGCTCCCACCGCCCTCCTTTTTCATTCCATCATCCACGTGTTGAAGCGTACGTTGCTGGCGCAACAGCCTCCGAGCACAAGGCTGTCAAAGCATTGAGCCAGCACTACTTGCTGCAGTGCGACGTGCAGGAGGCAAAGGAACGCTTTGGCGTTGGTTCCTGGCCCGGCCAGGATGCACAGTCGCACATGGACTTAGCAGACTGGTGGCATGCGTGCAACCCGGGTCTGCGTCCGGCACTCAGTCGCAGGAGGCTTGGCATCGACACAAGCTCAAGCAGCGCATTGGGTCCCTGCGCCAGTCTTTAGATGCCTTGCTGAAATGTTTAGGCGAGTTTACGCAGTCGCGATTGAAGGACCTGCAAGCCACTGAAGGAGAGCTTCCTGATGTGCCGATTGAACCCTTCCCAGACAAACACGTGCTCTTCGACACGCCTTGGCTCACTGCACAGGGTCGTTCTTCCGCAGACCAGTACCATCGGACGAAGAGTTACGATGTCTGGTCGGATGAGATCGGCGCAAGCTACTATGCCATGCCGCGCATGCTTGCAACCTTCGACAAGCGCGCAGAAACCTGGTCCAGAACTCCGACTCCAGACGACCTAGTTGAGACAGTGCCGCCCGGCACGGCCAAAGCGCTGGCCAGCCTGTTTCAGGCGAGGGAGGTAGACTGTTTGCGCTCTGCGCTGCGTGCGCTCGGCTTGGGCGATGAGCCACTTCAGGATCTTAACTCCCTCTTGAAAGGGGTCAGCAGTTATGTGCTTGTGGTGCATGGCGACGCTGCCCAGCAATACTGGCGCAAGGGGCCCCAGAAAGGTGCTGCCAACCCTCATGTCCAGATCCTTTGTGCCTTCTGCGACATTTTCTGCGTGCATGCCAGCTGCGAGCATGTGCATGCCGCTTTAGTGCATAGCAAGCACATCTCCCTCAAGAAGGCAAACATGCCAGACAGAGGCAAGAAGTCCAAGGCACCGCTGGCACAACAAGACCCAATCCCCATCCTCCTCCCTGCAGCGTCCCACTGCTCCAAACACCAAAGTCCGCCTGCGCCCATGCGCAGCACGCCAGGCCAGTGTCTCAAACGGCTGCGTACTTTCCTTGCAGCCAGCGAGCTGACGTCCTGGTCGGCGCCCTTGGAGGCTGAGCCGTTCACCGTCGAGCAGCTGGCTGCCATATCCCTCCCAGATCTACGTGCCATCCTCCAGCAGATACCATGCAGCCGGTATCCTGCTCACACTGAAAAATGCAGCGGCCGCTTGGGTGGACAAGGCCGGCTGAGCTTACTGAATGAAATGTGGTACATGCCACGTTCATGTCCACAAAGCGCGTTGCGTGTTGTGGGCACCTTTTGCGGAAGAGTCAGCGCGTGACCAAGACCGCAGACAGAAGGCCAGGGCTGCGATCGCTTGCGCGCAAGATGCAAGAAGCACAGTGCTCCTTTCCAATGATGTTATTACGCAGGAGGAACCCGAGAGGATGGCCGACGTGCAAGACTCGATCCGCGAGGCCATTCGGCTTGCCTGCCTACAGCCTTGAGAATATATATATATATATATATATGTCAGCCGACCCGAAGCACTCTGCCCGAAGGAACCAAGTCGGCTCGAACAGAAAGCTGCAGCCTTTCCGGCGTCCGGTAGGACATGACATGTCTCTGGGCTGCAATGTGACTGTGACTCATACCACATGTGGATTCTAGACTGAGGTTTGGCAAAGCGATGAGTCTGACGATGATGTGGAAGCCGCTCACCGAGACAACGTATCTCCAGCTCTTGCGTCGCGTTGCCTCGTCCAAAACTTCTGTTGCGGCTAGTTCGTCCTGCCATATACAAGTCAAGGAGGTCGAGAACGAGCAAGCCGAGCATTAGGAAACGCCTGCAGTTCACGGGCGGTCGTTGCTGCTGCGTCCAGTTTTAAGCCCACTTCATCTCAACGTACGCCAGGACGCGAGTGTCGACGACATGGGTGACGGACGGAGAAGCCTGCAAATCATGGGTGGCCCTTACTGCTGTGTCCAGTGCCCATTTCTCATATGCGAGGATGCCACCCCAGGTGACGAGGACGACGAAGACACGCAGGAACGGAGCAGTAAGAGCAAAGCCCGAGCATGCCTGTAGACCAAAAAATGCTACCATGTTCTGCAGGCCGAAAACATGCAACAAGGAGAGCTCCCGCCCCAGGTTGCCCCCAAGGCCGGTGTAGCGCGGACCGTGTACTCACAATTCCTGTTGTTTTGCTTAGTCTGGCAGGAACCGCCGGAGAAGTGGCTGGTGAGCCTTTATGGCTGCGTTCACAGATCGCCCACGGCAAACCGGTTGGCATGCGCAAAAGACGCTACCAACATGAGGGAGTTGCCAAGTGGCTCGTCGGCCCGTGGGTACGCTTTCTGTACACCAGCATGCTTTAACGAGCGCATTCCCAGGAACACTCCGCCGGCTCCCTGATGGCATCGACGTTGTGCGCGGCGTACAAAACAAAGCAAGCCTTATTGTGCAGAGCCTTCTTGCCGTAGGGCTGGCCGTCATGGTGTTGCCACAATAAATGTATCAAAATGTGGACATCGCAATTGCTCATTGCCGGTACGGGTATACAGTGTCTGGGCACCCTCCACACCCACCGCACCTCGCAAGCACGCCTTCTGCACAGCCCTCCGCTTATCCTGGATGCTCGTGGTCACAACGTGAGGACTTGAACGGCACCACCGAAGACACCAATTCAAATTGTCCAAGGCGAAACGCATAAACCAAACATATCCCAAAAAAGCAAAGCGAGCCACCCCCCCAATGGCCAGCCACGTGAAGGGAGGCAATGGAAGCAAAGGAAGACCAGGTGTTGGAATGGCCACCTGCGGGAAGAAAGACTAGGAGGCGGGATCCTCTTGATTGTATGTGGGGGCCTGGTTTTCAGACATAAGAAACGAACTCGAGTCCGATATCGATGCCATCGAAGCTCGAAAATACATCGAAATCACAACCTTCGATCACAAAACTCGAGTGTAGCAAGCGCTGCTCATTCTCGGGATGCTTTCGCTGCCATTTCTCAGAACATGACAAGAGAAAAACATGTGCATGAGCGCATCTTCTTTGCCAGAAGCCTGCGTGCGGCATGCAACATGGGCAGCACTCTCACTGAACCGATGCCTGTGTCTACTACTACGACTACTGCTACTACTACTACTACTACTACTGCTACTACTACTGCTACTACTACTACTACTACCACTACCTTGAGGACTAAATGTCTTCTAAAAGCGCCTTTGGTAGCGTTTCGAAATGACCTTTATTTTGAGAGACGTTTGAAATGACCCTTAAAATCCTGCTCTGCTGTGTCTGAGACAGTGGATATATGTGCACTGTGGTTTCCGCATGTTTCCGCACTCAACTCAGCTTGCTGAAAGGACAACACAGCTCCCGACATGGAAATTGTGCTTGGGGCTTGCCTGCGCCCCACCTTGCCTGGTTAAGAAGTGTGTGAGGACAAAATAGAAAAGGGTAGAACACGTCTTTCGCTAAGTAAAATGAATATCGACTTTTTGTTATAAATGTTTGCTTCTCTCTCTTTTATTTGTTTGTTTGATTTACTCATGTGTGCGAATTTGCGTGTTTGATATTTTTTTCGTCGTGGATTCAAAGCATGCCAAGCCCAGGCGCCTACGGGCTTAGTGTCCCAGCATTAGTTTACCAGGCTGTGGCTTACGAGCCTCTGGGCTTTGACATGGGTGGGTTCTTGCGCCTGAAATCTACTGGAGTCAAATCGGAAAAACTCTCGCACCGACTACGCACATTCTATGCAGCGCCCGTTTGCCTCCAACGCCATGTCGGAATCATTTACCCTGTTACGTAAGCCGTGCTGCGGTCAAATCGAGTTTGAGGTCTTGGTGGCTTCCCTAGATCCCAGATGCTGCGTCAAACATCACCTTGCCACCGGTGTGCAAGATAACTACGTTGGCTGTTTCTCACCTCTAGAAGAAATTTCAGAAGACGGCTGGAAGGGGCCGGAAATGACTTCCCCAAGTATAATGACATGAAACATCCTCTTAATCCAAGCCAAGAGTGCGATGAAATGCTCGGACAAGGCTGGAACAATCTCTGCGTCGAAAAACGACGAATGCTAGTTAAAATCCCCCGAAATGCTAGTTAAAATGCGTCGGAATCGTCGTGTTTCTCTACGTCCGCGCAAATGCAGCGCCGAACGTCTCCCAGAAGGCGAACCCATTCCCTGGATGTCTCTTCAATTGCCGAAGGTCCCCTAAATTTGCAAATTTTTCCCAAAATGCCGGGCGCCTCCCTAACTGCTGAATGCTGCGTATTTTCGGTGTTGATATTCCAAGATTTTGTTCTGCGCAGGTGAGGACCTGTATGTATAGTTTCGGCGTTACGAGATTTCACAAATTTGAGCTTGCAGGGCATGTAACGTATAGTCCAAAGTATTTCGCCCTGGACCTTACCCTCAAAAATCAATCTTGTACTCAATCTCCTAACCTGCAAGATCTCAACCTCGAACCCCGAAATCTAAATCTACCTTATACCAAGCTATATGACTATATGCGTCTGATAAGATCCTCAAGGTTTGCAGCCTTGTTTGGGCCCAATTCCTAATGATCATATTCAACCTTAATGCCTTAAACTTCTCAAGACCTCGACCCTAAACTGCCGAACTTCAACACTCAGACGTTGGCCCAACCTTGTCTTAAGATGTCTTAAGCCTCAACCTGGCCCGTAGGATTGAGAAAGGGCGTGTCCCAAACCATCCCAAACCCTAGAAGCTCCAAGCTGGCAAAAACCTTACTGAAGTTATACACAACTTTAAACCCAGATCTATGTATATTACTAACTCATGTATACATGGGAAGACAATACGCAACCTGATTCTTGTAGGCTACTCGTATGCGGTAGAAAAGTGTCAATGTGCGCAAGTTGGTTCAAGACATTCTGCTCAAGATTGGTGGGAAGCACCAACGCAATCATCGGTATTTGCAGCATTGGGTCTGGAAGTGGTGTATCTGCAACGCGTTGTGCGACATGTGTTCAAAAGACAGTAAATGTCTCTTGGCCGCGCTTTCTGTCCCGTGTTATAATGTGTCCAATACTTTGGTCGCTGCAGCGCTCTGTGTTTGGATTGTTGTGTTTATCGTTCGAGATACAGCCGGTACTCCCGAGAAACCATGTCAAAGGGCAATAAAAATGCCATGCCCTTGAAAAACCTTAAATGTTGCTTAAAACCCCCAAATCTCTTTTTAAATGTGCGTTTGGAGACGGAAGCCACTTTTAAAGGACGTTTCGTCCTGAAGGTACTACTACTACTACTACTACTACTACTACGACTACTAGGCCTACAAGTACTAGTAGGACTACTAGGACTGCGAGGACTAATTACTTCTACAACAACAAGTGCTACTTACTGCCACTAGTACTACTGCTACAGATAGTACTACGAGTACTAGTACTAGTACTCGTACCATGTCTAACAATTTTTTTTTAGATGTTTCACCCCGCTGAAGTTTCGCGTCCTTTGTGGTTCTGCAGCCTGCAGTTCCCTTGCAGTCCTACGCTACTGCAACCCCTGCCGCCTGCGGGAACATTTGCGAAAGCACTCAACTCACACTTTCTAGTGTTTGCCTTTTTTTTTGTTAATCCATTGAAGGCCGCGATTATCAGGTTCCCATCCCAGCGTTTTGAGCGAGTGTCGTCTTTGGAGGAGGAGCCGACTGTGCAGATGTACTGTCTCTGACATGTCTCGTGATGGGCATACGTATTCTTCCGACGGCCCAAAGGTGACAGTGTTGGAGCAACAAGACGAAAAAGTCGAGTCCACCGTTACCTTGTACATAGCAACTTAGACCTCATAGCAGCATAGGCACGGATGCATCGCGTAGCCTTTTCGCAGACACCTGCTGGGGAAAGCACGGGCCCACCGACATATCTGGAAAGTCGCGGCTCGCTCGTCCGAGATTGTTCGCCCTGCTTTTGAGTGCAAGGGTTGACACGTACTAGGAACTTTCTCGAAGATAACCTTGCAGAACGTTAGCACGGTGCACCGTCATGCACCTTACAAACCCGTCCATGGTACAGTACGATCAGCATGCTCTACCATCCCCACAGAAGCCCTGCAGTCATACCTGTAATGATGTCGATGATGCCAGCACAGTCATCGCCGTAGCAGTCACTGTGGCCACGCCGTTGGTATGATCATCTTCTTCCAAGCATCATCGACATAACTGGCCGTGAAAGACTTTCCTGGCCAGCCATTCCAACCACCGCAAGATGTAGTAAAGACGTACGGTTTTGCCTTTGCAACGCCTTTTGAAAGCCGGCAGCAGCAAAGCCGTTTTTTTGACAAGTTGCCTTCAAATCAAGCAGCCCCAAGCCCCAAGTTCGACTCCCAATTTCGCAAAGTAAGCATCTAGGGTGCGGTTTCCCGTAACCGGTAGCACCACTGGAGGGCTTGTCGTTTGTTCGGGGTTTAGGGTCTATGGGGCAAGGTTGAGGCTAACTTAGTCTTTGAGATGCAGGTTGGGGGCCTCGTCAGGGATTGGGGTTGCGGGCTGAGGGCCTGGAAGATGTTGGATTTCGAATTTGGAGTTTTGGGCTGCGGGCTTTGGGATCTATCGACCCCAAGACTGGGAGACTCATAACCCGAAGGAAATTCTTGGCCGTCGTGTGCACGTGGAACGCGAGACCTTTGCCCCTTGTCCTCGGGCTCAGGCTTCTACAGCAGGTTTTTTTGCCAACATTTTCTTGCAAACTATGACGCACAGGGAGGGTATGGGACCGAACCCTACCAATTCAATAAGATCCTGCATTCGGAATTTAGGTTTAGGATTTCGGAACTACGCTGCTGGGTTAGAGATGCAATCCCAGGAGACGGGCTTTGGATTCAAGTTCGGACGAGGTTGACCTGGAGCTTGGTTTCGATCACGACTACAGCTATACATGTATATATATATATATATATATACTCGCCCCCCCCCCCTCCCCCCATGATCCACAATCGGTGGGTCTGGGGAGTGGCGGGAACACGCACAGTGTATCTGAAACTGTTGCAAGCCGGAAGTCTTCTGCTGCGTTGTTGTGCTGTACGATGTGTGATGTCGTGTCTTCTATTGTGTTGTCTTGTATACTAAACGTCATTCCTTCAGACGGAAAGTTCACATTATCGTGCTTCGGAGCTTGAGGTTTTTGGGAGGCATTAAACCATTAACCCAATCATTTGGTCTAGTGGACTTAGGAGGCCCCAACCCATTAACCCATTAACCCAATCATTCTGGCCAAATGAACTTGGGAGTAGGGTTCATTACCACTTGGGCAAATCATTGGGTTAATGGGTGAATGGGTTTCGGCCTCACAATTCCATTGGGCCGGAATGATTCGGTTAATGGGTCGGGGCCATTCCCACTTGGGCAAATCATTGGGTTACTGGGTTAATGGGTGTGGGCCATTTCCCACTTGGGCAAATCATTGGGTTAATGGGTTTGGGCCATTTCCCACTTGGGCAAATCATTGGGTTAATGAGTTAATGGGTTACTGGGTTTGGGCCATTCCCACTTGGGCAAATCATTGGGTTAATGGGTTGTGGGCTACTACGGAAATGTTTCGAAGCAGAAACGAGTTTCGAAGCCAGATAGCGGAATCGACAACAGAATAGCAAGGTTGCAGAAAATGCCGGGGGGATAACTACCTAGCCATATATATATATATGTTTGATTTAGGGGTAAAACGTGTCTGTAACTCAGGGCATCCTTCGTCCACACCCACAGAGTCTAGGATGGGCAGTTTAAAATCTTCAGCTCGTCGCTGCAGTCAGGTTGTCATGTAGCTCTTGGGATGTTGAGGTTCACGACAGGACTTTAGCCAGAGGATAATGGTAGGTGTGATTGATCGCTCGGGAAATCAACACAGGCACGGATCCTCCTCAAGGCTTCGGCTGGTCTATGTACCGTGCCGAAAGGCAGCAACAGCCTAGATCAATTCCTGGTTGGGGGTTGGGCTTATCAATCTTTGCCCCCCAAACCCTCATCCATGCACCATGTACCCTAATTCTCAACAACAAACCGAAGCGCTCCACGGAAGATGGAAGGCACTCCGTGTCTTCGCCCCCCTGGCCGAAAGGGCAGCGACTGCTGAGACTGTGCAGACGCTCTCAGGCAGCAGCTGGGATTCTGGCTGTTTTCGTCAAAACACTTGGGGGCTGCAAGCGTACCAGTTGTGCTTTGGAGAGGTTCTTTGCTGGGACTAGTGCTTCGAGTCACGAGTGTTGGAGTTACGACAACTCCAGACGAGGGCACATGCCTGACAAGAGCTTTTGGAATTTAGAGGCTTTGGGGTTCAGGGTCTCCTGGCTTTGGAGTTTGAGGCGCCTCTTGCGGGGAGTTGATTGCTGGGTTTTGTGGACTTTCGAGGGCGTTTTCGGTGAGTGGGTGTTGGCCTGCTTAGCGGCAGATTTTCAGATTCCGCATTCGGTTGACGGTTGTGAGGCTTTGGGGCTTCTTGTTGGGTGCCTTTAGAGAGCTTCCGGGTTGAGGTTGTTGCGGTAGGATGTCGCGCTGTTCGTTCGGTTGGAACGACGCTCCAGGCTACGATGTTTTCGAACAAAGGCAGTATGAAAAAAAGTAATACAGTATAATATATACATATCACGGGTTAGTAACCGTGCGTACTACATAAAGCGCCTCTTCCAAGGCTGGCATCTCTGTGCACCAAGCAAACGATTGAACTGCCGGCTGACTGCGCCTCTCGGACTTGATGGTGCGTTTGCTTGCAGTGTACGACTCTTGACTTGGGCTTGGAGGGCATGGTGTGTCTTTGTTCCAGATCCGCGATTTCACGGTCGCAGTATGCAAGCCTTATATTGTTCTCAGTATAGCACGTTTGAGTTTCGGGGGTGTTTTTTGGGCTTTGGCACCTTCTTCTTTCTGACTTCGGATTTTGTTGTATAAGCCTCGTGTCTCTGTTAGCCTTGACTACTTTCGTATGGAGCCGATAGACGCTGTAGTCTGTCCGGCAACCTGGTCCTTCCCGTGCTTTTCTGGTCCGCAACCATGAGCCGGGTCCGACATCCTGTCCGTTTGAACGCATCTGCAGGTGCTTGTTTTCGGACCCCTGCCATAGTTTTGTTGAAGCTCAAACATGTCTGGTCAACTTGAGCGATACTACAATGAATCTACTACACAGGCGCACCCCGACCCTGCTCACTGCCTCGTTGGAAACCTGTTTCATCCCACTTCCACTTGAGCTCGGGCTGCCCTCGCGAGAGAGCATGCGTGAATATAGAGGTACTTGTAGGCATGTGTTTATCCGCGTAGCTGCATGGGATATCGATCTGGTGTTGTTTTGAGCGGCCCCGCTGCGGCCAGCCGAGGTTTTGCGCCGGGTTATTGAAATCTGAGTTTTCAATTTCAGGTGGTGGGCTTTAAGCCAGAGTCTAGAGCCGATGCTTCAAATTCAGGGCCAAGCGTCGTTTTGAAGTGGGGCCTCGTTGGGGGTAAATATGTGAGGGCACAAGAGTCTACTAAAGCATGACAATGAAGCCGGGCCAGACGAGAGGGCTTCCAAGACAAGCCTAAAGCCCAACCTTGCAGTCTTTTGCCCTTACTATGGGGGCTTTCATCTCAGGATTGGAATATCATCAAGGAGCTGCAGACATCGGAGAAAGTCACGATGAAGGCGCCCAGAGATCTAAACAGCAACCATCAGCACGATCTATGGAGTGTGTGTGTGTGTGTGAAAGTCCTGTCTCTAAGGATCTAAAACTAATAAATGCAGGGGGGCAGTGAGCCTTCTGTCATTCACTGCCCAACGAAGACGGTGACAGAAGTGCTGTGAAGCGATCTGGGACGCCAGATTCTGTACCTGCAAAAGAGTCGCTCATGGGTCACAGAGGTGACAGCTTGGGGACTCAGTAATGCCTGCGTAGTACAAAGGACATGATGAGAGAGAGACAATGTAATGAACTAGCACAAACAGCATCCATCTACGTAAGGATGACTGGTCTGCAAGTGTGCTTTCCCGACAGTAATTCTGCCAAAGCGCAGTCGGACGCCCGGTCTGCGGGGGATACTTGGAATATCAAGAACCCCCTGAATACACCTGTTTTTCCTAACGTATGAGCCTTCAGTCCCAGGAGATCCCCACGACAGGCTTCAATTACCGATGCACCATTGGA